TGTCCTCTGTCTCACTGACCTCCTGTCCTCTGTCTCACTCACCTCCTTCCTGTCCTCTGTCTCACTCACCTCCTTCCTGCCCTCTGTCTCACTCACCTCGTCCTTGGCATCACTTTTGGCCTTCTCTTCCCCACGAACCTCCTGAGGTCCTGCTTTAGCTCCATCCACAGCATCCCTTTGAGATTCACCCTTGGCCTCTTCCACACCAGCCTCCTGGGGCTCTGCCTTGGGCTCCTCCAGCTTCTCTCTCTCTGGAGGAGCCATTGTGGTGGTTTCCTTCCCATGGGCCTCCTTGGGTTCAGCCTGGACCACCTCCTCCTTACCAGCAGCCGGCTTTGGCGCAGCCTCAGTCTGATCATCCCTATCAGTGTTCTTCCTACATTCAGACTTGGCCTCTTTCTCGTCAGCCTTCTGCTTCTCAGAGCAGGACGTGGCCTCCTCTTTCCCCTGAGCCACCTCGAGTTCAGATTTGATCTCGCCTTTCCCACCAGCCTTTTCCTGCGAGGCCTCTGGGGTCTCCATCTTCCCAGTATCTTCCATTTGCTGTTTACCCTGGGCCTCCTCTTCAAGTTTCACCTTGACCTCCTCCAACCCAGTTGCTTCTCCCAGGAGTCCCGCTGCAGGGGCAGTCTCTGCAGGCTGTCCTGTCCCATCTAGGGGCCCATCGCGCATGGTCTTCCCTGCTGTGTCTTTGACCTCCTCCTCTGCAGTGGTTCCATCTCCTGGGGACCCTGGCTCCTCTGTAGTTGGGGAGCCGGGGGTCTTGTCCTCTGAGGGCTTCCCTTCCTTCTCCATCTCTAGAGGGAGAAGACAAGCAGATCTGGTCATGTGAGCACTAGGAGGGCAGCCTGGGTTCAGTCCTGGCTCCCCCACTGCCTGCCTCTGGAGCTGAACACCCACTTTTCCTGGGGTGAAATGGAGAAGAACCCTGGGTCCCACAAGGTGGGCGGCTGGCCTATATTCAACTAAAGGCCCTCTGTAAGCTATAGCTTTGTCTTCAGAGAACCTAGGATCACATCGTGCCCTTCCCGTGATTTTGCATTCCTTCTGAATAAACTCTCATCCCGTGGATTCTGGCTCATAGCCACCTTATAGGGCAGGGAAGAACTGCGTCCATAGGGTTTCCAAGGCTGTGAATCTTTAGGGGACCAGAAAGCCTCCTCTTTCTCCTGTGGAATGCCTGTTGGGGCCCCACCATGGCGTTCTGGTCAGCCACCAGGCACTTAACTGTGGCACCACCAGGACTCCTTACTTCAACCAACAGATGGTCACCATTTGGTTCCTGGGTCCCTCTAATTGTGGAGCCATTGCTGTTCTCCGCAAGGCAGGCCGGAGTCTCTGCACAGGACCGCATCACTATCTGGTTTCCACTCCCTTTCTTGTTATCATCACATTCTCTTTCTACCAAGTGACTCTGAGTTTCCATTTCAAACAAGGATCTAGAGCAGCATTTCCCAACCTGTGGTTCTCGACCCCTTTGAGGGTCGGATGAAAGGGTTGCCCAATTCATTAACAATAGCAAAATCACAGGAAGTAGCAACAAAATAATTTTATGGTTGGGGGGGTCACCACAACATGAAGAACTGTATTAAAGGGTCATGGCATTAGGAAGGTCGAGAACCACTGATCTAGAGTTTCTTGTCAAAATACATTGATATTGGTTTTGTAAAAGAAGCGAATTCCAAAATGAGGAGCTAATTCCAGGAACCCAAGAGGAAAGCGAATTTTGAGAGCAATGAGGGCAGCAAATGTATAGGTGTGCTTTGCACAGTTGATGTATGTATGGATTGTGATGAATTGTATGAACCCCAATAAAATGATTAAAAAACAAGAAGAAGAAGAAGAAGAAGCGAATTCCAAGGGGAACCTTCAGGAAGACAGGTACAGGGGACACTGGGGTACACTCGGTCTTATTAGTGGACTACAAGTAGCTGTAATTTGGGAAGCGCTGGGCCAGCTGGGAGTGTCTAGGGTGCTGCCAGCTGGGACAGCTGGGGGTTCTTCTTAGAAACAGGCTAGGCAGGAAATTTTCCTTTTGTGAAGGAGGGAAATGTTTTCTCCCTAACCTCCCAGGGGAATCCGACCCTTTGGCTGCCCCAGGGGCTGGGTGGTGGTGCGGTGGGGCTCTGGCACCTCCACTTGGGACTTCCTGTTCAGGTACGATACAAGGGGCTGTCAAAAAATAGTGCTACTGGGGTCCTTAATGATCCATGCACAAGTTTCCAAACACAACATATTTTGACACATGTCTGCGACTGAGGGATTGCTGCAGACAAGCTCTCAAACATATGCTCGTCTTAGTCTCAAGGCTGCCTTGAAACCAAGGTCCAGTCAACGCGTGGCTTCTAAGGACTCCACTGGGCCAGTTACATCCAAGGCAGAGAGGTCAGCGCAGAAGGTCACGGTGAGTGTTCGTCAGAGTGCCAACCAGGGCCGTCTGGATGGATTGTCCTCCAGTGACACAGGACCATCACAGGGGCTTTTTATAAAGTTTTTTTTTTTTAAGAATTGAAAACTGTCTTGGTGATAGAAAGGCCAGAAACATTGTGCCGAGGAAATTCTACACCTACACACACACACACACACACACACACACACACACACCATCACACCAACGCACCTGCTCACTCTTTGAGGGGACAAAGGGCTGTCCTGTGAGAATTTCATTGGGAAACCTTTATCTACCCTACAACCTTGTCCCTTCTGACTCCCTTTTGCTCCCCAACTTCAAACAGCATTGAAAGGATGCCCAAACCACCATTGTGACATGACGTAACTCTTCAGGGAAGGGTCCCTCCCAAGCTCCCTGCTACCGAGTCGATTCTGACTCACAGCGGCGACCTTCTGGGATGGGGTAAAACTTCCCTGTAGGGCAGCGGTTCTCAACTTGTGGGTCGCAACCCCTCTGAGGGTGGAACGACTCTTTCACAGGGGTTGCCTGATTCTTAACAGTAGCAAAAGGACAGGGATGAAGTAGCCACGAAAATAATGTGATGGTTGCAGGTTCACCACCCCATAAGGAACTGTCTGAAAAGGTCGAGGCCTGAGGAAGGTGGAGAAGCGCTGCACTAGGGTTCCCAAGGGTGTGCAGCTGCACGGGAGCAGAAAGCTTCCTCTTTCTCCCGTCGAGCATCTGGTGGGTTCTCACTCCACCCCCAGGGCTCCTCGGGAAGGGCTGCGGAGATGAGGATACTGTCTTCTGAGCGTACAGACCCAGGTGGAGGACAGGCTGCGAGACAGGAACTTCAGCTGTGCCTTTCTTCTGGTTTCATGGAGGGTTCTACACGTGTGTGCCACTACCTGTTGATGTTCGTCTCCCTGTATCTACAGAGGGATCGATACTGGTGGTTTTCAAATTGCCAGAGTTAAAAACCTTTTTTTTTTTTTCCTGAAAAATGCGTGGTAGTCCCCCAACTTATTTAAGTTCCATCCAAATAGCTTGGTTTGGGGGTCAGGGCCACCTTTCCATCTGCCTGCCCTTCTCAGGGGTCTGGTTACAAAGAAAACAATTCCCAAATAGGATTCAGGGTGTGACTCAGGAGGATAAAGACGCGGACACTCTTGTCACCGGCTAAAAATATCTCCTCTCCTGGCAGTGCCAACTTTCTTGGTGACAGTACTCAGGGTACCTGGGCCACTGGGATAGAGGACGGGAGGCAGGAGGACAGACAGATAAGAGAGAGACAGAGCTCTGTCCTTGCTGCCCACTTGGGTCTTCTCAGCCCCCAGGTCAGAGGCCGATGGTCCCTCAGGACTCAGAACTTTCCCTGGAAAACAGTGTGTGTGTGTGTGTGTGTGTGTGTGTGTGTGTGTGTGTGCAGATATTTCCACTCTCCCTTTCTAATGGATTGAATGAGTCCTCCCCCCATTAATGTATTCTAGACCCGGATTCCTATGCCTTGTCCTCAGAGAGATGGACAGACACAGTGGCGGCTGTCATGAGCTCAAGCAAAGCAAGGACGGTCAGTGGTTCATGCCCTTGTGGTTGTGCACAGGGTCGCTATGGGTCAGAACTGACTCGATGGCACCTGACACCTACAACAGTGGTTCTCAACCTGTGGGTCGTGACTCCCTTGGGGGTCGAACCACTCTTTCACAGGGGTCGCCCGATTCCTAACCATTGCAAAATTACAGTGATGAAATAGCAACAGAAATAAGTTTATGGTTGGGGGGGGGGGGTCACCACTCCTTGAGGAACTGTATGAAAGGGCCTGGCATGAGGAAGGTGGAGAACTGCTGGACAACAGCTCCTGTGCCCTGCTGGCACTGCTAACCTTAAGGCTGGTGGTTCAAACCTAACAGCCACTCCAGGGGAGGAAGAGGTGGTGGTCTGCTCCCGCTGTGAAGACTAACAGCCTTGGAAACCCCATGTGTGTGTTGGGATGGGGGGAGTTGGAATCCAGTCAATGGCAGAGGTGGGGTTTAGGTTTGGATGATTGTGGAGGAGTAGGGTTTTCTCTGACCCCTGAGTCAGGCCGAGTGGCTGTCCTGGAGAGGGGCCATTGAGTCGGGTTGGCCCCAGGCCTGCGTCATCCTCACAATTGTGACGCTGGAGCCCATGGTCCCAGGCGCTGCAGTGGGAGGTCTGTGCAGAATGTGCTTCCCACCACTCGCTTTGAGATGTGAAAGAGCGGATCGGCCCGAGAAAGGCCGGGAGAGTGGGGACATGTGCCCTATGGAGCTAACAGAGAGGCTGGTTGTCTCCAAGCCCAGGGAGTTCCAGGGTGGCCAGCGGGAGAAGCTGAGATAAGGGCAACCCCAGAACGGACAGAGCGCCCCCTCCCCGAGAGCCAGCACCCCGAGACCAGTCCCCCGTGCTTGGTAACGTGGCGGGGCAGCGAGGAGGAGGAAGGCGTTCGATGAGATGTACCGACACCATGGCTGCCACCATGGGCTCACATAGAAGGACAATTGGGAGGAGGGAGCAGGACCCGGTGGTGTGTCGTTCCCTTGCGCATCAGGCCACTGTGAGTCTGGCTCATGACACCTGATGAGAACACAGCAAGTCCTCTGTGACAGAGTGACTGTTTGTCCCTTCAAGCCTCTTCCTCGTGACGTATTTCTGTGACCGCAGCACTGACAAGTTAGGCCACCCTTCCTCGGTGCCTTCAAGTGAGATTGAACAAATGCTCAACCTGGGAGATGAAATGAGTGAGAGGAAGCGCACCTTCCCCGGGAGCCAGGGAGCCAGGTGGGCGTGGGGCTGGCCCCAGCACTCACTCTCCCACTCACCGCTGACCTCAGCACGTCCTTCTGTCCGTTGGCCTCTGGGGGCTCCCGTCCCACACCGGCAATGCCCGAGTTGTCTAGATGCAGGACGGTGGAGGATTCGGGAAGCCAACGCCTGCCTAGAGGGTTGAGAGCCGTGCTGTCCCCGTGGGGCTGGGCCTGTCCCCGACTGTCCCTGTCCCTGTCCCAGGGCAACATCCCGACCTGGCCTCAAGGGCTTATTTGGTGAGACCCAGCAGAGAGAGACCAAGCCAGGGATATGATAACAAATCCTTTTTATACCTCCGTGTGTGTGACAGGGCTTGGCTGGGTTGAGACGCAGCGTTCCAACCACCTGTCCTTCTGAATGTCTCCACACGCTTAGAGTGGTGGAAGGGAACGGGCAGGTGTTTCTCTCTCTGTCACACACACACACACACACACACACACACACACACACACACACGCTCCTAAGCTCGCTCTCTCAGCCACCTGTGTTGTCTTCACCTCAGCCTCCCACCCTCCAGGCTTGTCATAAATAGACAAAGAGTGAAAGCACGCAGTTTGCTGAGAATCAGACACCACCACCCAGGAGCTCAGCTTCGCCACTTCCTCTGTGGCGCTTGCTCCCTCTGCTCCTCAGCCCTCAGCTGGCCAGGCTGGGCCCCAGGCCTTTAGGTAGGCCGGTTGGCTCCCATGGAGCTGATGAGGGTGCGGGCTTCCTGGGGTTCTCAGTAGCTCATTGCTCAGAGGGATGGGGTGTTGCTGGCTCCATAGGACAGGTTAGCCATCTGAGACTCAGAGAGTGTATTTTTCTTAATGGAAGAAGCCCCAGGACAAGAATTAAATGACCCAACCAAGCCAAGACCCCCGGTCTCTGGACTCCCAGCTCAGTGCCCACACCAAGAGGCTGTTCCTGGCCCGACTCCTCAGCTTAGGGTCCCTACCATGGCTCCAGTCCTCTGCTGGGGGAAGGGCAGTCAGATATACGGATGAGTCCAGCTCTCTTTCTTCTAAGCATGCAGTAGGCCCTTCATGAACAAGTTTTCCTTTTCCTGCCTCCCCCTACCCTCCGGATGCCCTGAATGAAGCTGTCTGCCCCTGGAAAGACTTACAGGCTCAGAAACCCCATGGAGCAAGTCTCCTCTGCCCTACAGGGTCGCTGTGCCTTGGACTTGACTCGGTGGCAGTGAGTTTGGGGCTTGCTGGTTAAGCGCTGGCTGCTTACTGATAGATAGGTCATTGGTTTGAACCCAGCAGCCACAACACAAGAGCGGCTTTCCAGCCTTGGAAACCCGATGAGAATAGTTCTGCTCTGTCTTTCAGGGCTGCTGTATGTCAGAATTGACTCAACGGTTATTTTCATTTTTGGTGGGGCTAGGGGTGGGCAGTTGCCATCTTTGGTGGAAGCAGGGTGCCAGGCCTTTCTTCCACGGCACCATGGAGTCGGTTTAATCCACTAGCCCTGTGGTTAGTCGTGCAGATTGTTTGTGCACCCACCCCCTTATCCCCACCCCCAGGGGCTCCTCCTTCCCTCTGTACACTCTGTCCCTCCACCTTCCTTCCCCAGGAAGCCTCCCTGCTATCCCTGTTTTGTATCCGAAGCAGCACAGCCTATAGCTCCCCCTTCCTCTTCCTGTTTCCCTGGCAGGGAGAGAGCCTAGGAGTCTGGGCCACCAGGCTGGCTTCCGGTGACCCTTAGGCACCCATTTCCCCCCATTCCAGCCAGAGATGTTTCCTTAGAGAGACCATTCTTGACTGCTTAGAGCCTGCCTCCCAGCCCAACAGGATGGGGAGATGCCCAAGGCCCCTTCCACCCCTGGGAGGGTCTCCTCGTGGGTGCCTTCCTCACCCCATCCCATCCCCGGCTGCCCTGCAGATGATCCCAGGGGCTGCGGCCCTGTCCCCTGGGATGTAAAGAGAGCTGACCAAGAACAGTGGAGGGAATTAAGAGGCAACAGAGCCCCTCAGGAACTAGCTTGAAGGGCTGGCCATTAGAAGGTGGGGATTGGGCCAAAGGGACACTTAGAAAGGACTCAGGACTCTCCTACCTGTGGGTTCTGCCGGGGCTTGAGAGCTGGCGTCTTCCCCCAGCTTCTCGGCCTGGTTCCCGGGCTGCTTTTAAGCCCCAGCAGCGTCTAGCCCTCAGCTCCTGGGTCCCACCCCCTGCTCTCTTTAACCCCATGAGGCTCAGTGCCCCCTCCAGAAGAGAGAGGGAGCAGTGTTTACTACCCTGTTGGTACAACACGGAGCTCTGGACTGGGAGGCTCAGGTTTCCGGGAAGACTTGACAGGTGGTACCTTTCAATCACTGCATGCTCCTTACGCTCTGCAGCTGGCAGTAGTCACCTCTCTTCCCAATGGACTCCCCTGGCCTTGGGGACCTCGGCAGCCATCTGCAGGGGCCAATGGGAGCATGGTTCCCAAGCCTCTGGCTGCCCCTGCCCATCGAGAGCGCCCGCCCTCACCAGCCCTTCCTTGATCCCTTTGGGGGGTGCTCCTTTAAACAGTCTCTGACTCTTCCTGATACAAAAGCAGCTGCAGATGGCTGGGGCAGAGTGCCGGGGTGCGGGTGACAATGCAGCTGTCAGACTTGGGGGAACATGCGTCTGGGGGCATATGTGGGACAAAGGGATTTGGAGGAGGTGGGGGCAAAGAGCAGAAGAGTGGGGGAGGCAACCTGAGGGTGGGCTTGGAATCTAGAGAAGAGAACATTCCAGAGCTCTCCTCTTGAGCTGAAGTGACAGGTACACAGTAGCCTTGAATACATTGTTGTAATGAGTTGAAACTTTGTTCCCAAGAAACCAAACCACCTTTTAGCGTCTCTCTCTGTTACATGACCCACAGTAGGTACCACGTTTGGGGACTGTGCTCAGGGGAGACCCCTACTCCCAGTTCTCAGGAATCTTGTGATTCCCCCTCCCCCGTCCCCCCATGGCCCCAGCACTTCAGCCACTCCAGCTTCTTTCCGGTTCCTAAAAGAAGTCAACCCCTCTCCTTCCTCTCCGGAGTCAGAACGGGAGCTTTCCCACTCTTCTGGTGTCAGCTCCCATTTCATTTCCCCAGAGAGGGAGGTCCCTGATGATCTGGTGGTCTAAAGAAGTATGTCCCTCCCACCCGTCTCTTCATCATCTCAGCCTCTTTAATTTTCTGCATGACAGTTCCTAGAAGCTAGAATGATCTTACAATTTCTCATTAAAGTCTCTCATTAGATTAGCAGCTCAGTGTGGACAAGGAGTTGGTGTGCCATGTTCATGCCGTAGGCCCTTGTTGTAGCTACATCATTTCATGTCAACTTGATAAATAGGTTATAGGGGTGGAGTCTAGCCTATCAATCAGGTCACAGGCTGACTGAGGCCTCCTTGTGGGAGTGGCCTTCTCATGAGATTTGTGGGAGTTTCCTCTCTTACTCCATGAAGGCAGGACACTCTCTCTCTGGAGCCACACTGATGGCAGCCAGAGCCCCGGGGATGCTTCCACTGCTACTGGATCCACAGGACTTTCCACCCACCGAACTGTGATCTTCCTGCACTCGGCATCATTGTATGTACTGCATGAGTCTGAAGAGGAATTCATGGGCTAATAATGTCAGATTTATGAGCAAATCTTGAACTTATGGACTTGATTTGGACTGGGCTGTTTTGATACATAATTACTTCTTGATATAAAGTTCTCTCTTACACATATATGCATCTCTGGATTTGCTTTAGTCAACCTGGACTAACACAGCCTCAAACTTAAACCCACTCCCTTGTCTATAGGGTTTTTGAGGATGTAAACCTTTACAGGAGCAGACAACCTTATCTTTCTTCTGTAGATGACTGCTAGGTTCAAACTACCAGCCTTGTGCTTAGCAGATCAATGCTTAGCATAATGCTTGGTTCATATTACCCCCTTCTCCAACAAAAAATTACTTAAAAGTTAAACTAAACCTACTGCCATTGAGTCAGACTCACAGTAACCTTATAGGGCAGAATACAACTGCTCCATAGGGTTTGCGAGACTAAATCTTTATGATTGAGAGCAGGCAGCCTCATCTTCTGGAGTGGTTAGTGAGTTCGAACAGCCAACCCTGTGTTTAGTCCAATTCTCAACCCACTGCCCCACCAGGACTTCTTCATCTTAGGGACTCACTAAATATTGTTGCATGAATGAATAGGTGTACTAAACAGGAACTTGGTGCCCTCTGCCTGGGATGATGGGAGAGGTTTTATGGTACAGCTAGGTAAGGGAACCTGTCCAATAGTGTTTTGGTTGCTTCTTGTATATCTCCTTCATGTTTCTACAGCTTATGTGCCCACAGGGGGTAGATGAACCCTTCAACATCTCTCTCTCTCTCTCTTGCTTGCTCTTTCGTGTGGGGTACCAGCCCCCACAACAGAACAGGTCCCAGGGGGCAGTTGTGTAATTGAGGGGTAAATTAAAGAGACATCAGACAATATAAGGCATGAAATTGCTCACCTCCCGGATGGCCATGATCTCAGCAGCCAGGTCTGGGCAGAGAGAATATATTTTCAATCACAGCATATATACACCTCTGGGAACGTGCAAGCCCCACTGATTACATCATAATGGGAAGGGGTTGTACAGTTGGCATACATCAATTGGAAGGGGACAAGCTAGGGGTACACACGCAATCAGAAGGCGTGACACTAAGGGTACACATGTGACAAGATGGGCAGACCCTAGATTCAAGATGGCAGCCTAACCTTGGTCTTCCTTGAGTTGGCTTGACCATGTCTCTGGGCTATCCTTCACGGAAACAGGAAACAATCTACTATCCGTATCAGAAGGGAGTGGGCCCTACTTAAGGTGGGACAGACTATAGAGTCTGATTGCTTGATGGCTGATAACCCTCAGGGAGATAACCTCTAAGCAGCTGATGTTGACCTCCATGTCATTTACCATGTGTTTGCATATATTTGGGGACAACCTGGGGAAAAACCCTACGTATCCCACTCTGTTTTGAAAATGTTTTCCTTCTTGTCCAACCCTCACTGCATATGGACAACAGCAAGTGGAACATCATTGTACCGCTCATAAGAACTTCTTTAGACAATTAGTTTCTTCACTGGTTAAACGGCTTTTGAGCACCAGCCACTGTGCTGGGGATAAAGCGGTGAACACAAGAGAAAACAGACAAAATTCCATCAAAGATGTGTGGGGTGGAGCCACCCAGTACACAAACCAACAAAACACCTTTCTGGAGAAAACCATCGATTTTATTGGAAAGCATATGAAATGACCTGAACCAAAGAAGTCCAGCTGTTTTCAGAGTGAACACATTTGAAACAAAGAGTGGAGGACGGACTGACGGAGGGTGGTGGCGCACTTGATAAGATACAGACATGGGTACTGTGTCAGCCATGTCAGTTACATACACAGACAGTACAGTAAGGTAGTCACCGGTGGGCAGAGAGTGGACAGAGAGCTTGGAGAAAAGAGTGCTTAAAGTGTAAGAGAGAGGCCCATCAGACATGCGATCGAAGGTCTTGCAGGAAAAGGAGTCATCAGATTTGGCTGCAACTCCCTTTCTTTCTCAAGGTTCCTCATCTGTTCTTCCAGAACATCCCGTAAATACCCCATGTGCAGCCCAAGCCCAATGCCACCGGCTCATAGGGACCGGATCAAGCAGACTAGAACTGCTTCAGGGTGTCCATGCAGAGTGGCCCCTATTCAGGTCTTGCTCAGGGCGGCTTGCCGACGATGAACGAACTGGCATCTCCTTGTTACAAGCCCAGAGCGAAGCTGAGTGACTTGCACACAGCAGCAGTCGCACAATGTGCCTTAGAGCAAAGGTTCGCAAATTGGGCGCACACAGGAATCAACTGGGGAATTAAAAAAATGTACAGGGCATTTCGATTCCGAGATTCCGATTCAAGAGGCATGCCGTGTGGCCTGGGCATCGGACTTTTAAAAAGCGCCCCCTGGTGATTCCAGTGGGCAGCACACTCTGAGAACAGTCGGAGGGCGTCCTTCGTGCATCCCCGTTGCGCTCACGCGCCGGCTCTCCAAAGTGCGGGCGAGGATCGCGGAGCTCGACCGACTCGTCCCTCCCACAGAAGCAATCGACTCACACTTCTGCGTGACAACCCGCGAGACCTGCACTCCAACCAGGATGTGGATGCTCTGCACGGCCCCCGCGCCTCTATGGTACGTTGGCGTCCTCTCTAGCATTCCCAAAGCGCCTTCAGCTGCGGCCGGCGGCTCCCTCTCTATGGTACCTGATATCCCGGCTCCACCTCCTTAGTACTTTATCCCGGAAGCGAGTCTGGAAGGAGGCGGGGTTTCCCTCGGAAGTGATCCACGTGCTTCTGCTTACCGCGTCTGCATCGGGTGAGTTGCCAGTGCTTGCCTGAAGTTGGGGACACGGGGGGCGTGGTGATCCGCCCCAGGCCGCGGTGAGTGACCTGTGGCCCCTCTGACCCCTAGGTGGCCCCGAAGAGGGCGCCGCCATTTCTGAGGTGTAGCCCTTAGCCCGGGACCGGGCGGCTCGGTCCCACGTGGGACTGAATTCCCAGCGTCGGGAGTGTGCAGGACCGCTGTGTTGGTGCCCCGCTCGGATTTCACGAGTTTCTGGATAGAGCTGACCCCGAGGGACAGGGCGCCGGGCGCCGCGGCTCGGTGTCCAAGGCCGCCGTGGACGCGCCGTGCGACCTTGGGCTAGGCACGGGCGGCCCCTCGGGCCTCGGTTTCTGTACCAGTGACTTGGGGCCGACGGGCTCACGGAGCGCAAGGGGACCGGCCCTGGTGTGGCGCCCTGCGATCCCTCCACGTCCTGCAGCGGGCGCGCGGGCTAGGAGCGTGACCCCGAGGGCCGGCCGCTCACGGTGGTATCTGCCCCCAGGGTTAAAGGCCGGAAGGCGAGCCCCTCGGCGGCGCTCGCGCTGTGATGGATCCGCTCAGGGCTCAGCAGCTGGCCGCTGAGCTGGAGGTGGAGATGATGGCCGACATGTACAACAGGTAAGAAGAGCCATCCCCGAGAGTGGACTTTGGCCGCCCTTTCCGAGGGCAGGAGCGGGGCCGTCTGACGAATGCTCCCCGCATTCTAGGGGCGCCTGAAGCCGGTGCTCACCCCGGCCCGACCGGCCCGCTGCCCACCCGCGGCAGTCCATGGTCGGTGCTGCTCACCTATGTATGGCCGGCGACCGGCGCAGACGCCGACGAAGCCCTAGAAGGAGTTGGGATTGATTAGGGTAGAACCTTGTCGCTGAAGGACATTATGCTCGGTGAAGTAGAGGGGCAGCATGAAAGGAGGAAGGCCCTCCCAAGCAAAGGATTCGCTGTGAGGTTGGCTCAGGACCGGGTGGCATTCGCGGTTTTGTACACAGGGTCGCTGTGGGTCGGAACCGACTCCTGACAACAGCAGCGCTGGACATGAGAGTAGGGGAGAGCGGAGCCAGCCCTTTTTCCAGAAGCTTGAACGTTCACCTTGTCACAACCAGCAGATGCCCACTTAGTAGCTTAGTAACATTTCTTAACTCCTGACTTCATGTCAGGCACTTGCTGAGCATTTATCTTTTGGCATCGCAGCCCTGTTTTAAGATGGTGAGAGAGGGGGGGCTTCTAGAGGTCATTGAAGGCACCCCGGTGGTACCGTGGTTAACCACTCAAAGGCCTGCAGCTCTGCAGGAGAGAAGTCCTGGCAATCTCCAGTAAAAATGTATGGATTGTGATAAGAATTGTTCGAGCCCCCAATTAAAAAAAAAAAAAAAAAAGGCACTGCTACCAAGGGCTCAAATAGAAAGTAAATGATTATAAAATAACGATGGCAACATATTTACAAATATGCTTGATACAATTGATGTATGGATTGTTATAAGAGCCCCCAATAAAATGATCTTTAAAATAAAATAAAAAAATGACAGCATTGGAAACACTGTGGGGCAGTTTTTCTCTGGCCTCTAGCACTTTCCGAGTCTAAATCAACTTGACAGCTCACAACAACACTGGTTAGCTAATGCCCTCCGGCTCACAAACTAGCCATTGGAAGTGTCAGGTTGACTGTCTGGGTCGGACCTCAGAACTAGTGGTCAGGCCATTTGGCAAATTTGGGGATAAATCCCCACTCCACCATTCACCTGCAAGCAGTACGGCCGTGGGCAAAGTTACGGAGGTTCTTTGGCAAATGTTTTCCTCATCTGTAAAATGGAGATAATAATCGCACTGCCTCATAAAGACATCATAATATTAAATGTAAGACACCTGATAAGCCCTCAGCATGTAGCCCAGCACATGGTGAGCAGTCAATGCCTGCTGCTTTTATCGGCGTCATCCCTCGCTTGTCCTCTAGCAACTCATTGGTTTGCTTTGCAGGGTGTGAGGTAGAATTGCTTGTAAATGGTCTTAAGTGTAGGTAGGCTTTAAGTCTGAAGTCAGACCACCAGGGTTCAGACCCTAGTTCCTGGCTATCCTAGCAGATTACTGAGCCTCTCTGCCCCTTCATTTATTTATTTGTAAAATGGGGATAATTAAATGCCAGCCCTGTGTGGGGTTATTGTAAGGCTTGCTGGTGTGTGCCGGCAAGTCAATTCTAGGGTTTGCTTGGCTGTATTCGTTCCAGGAGAAGGCTGCCACAGCAGTCTCCTGTGGAGTGGCTAGTGGGTTTGAACTGCCAACCTATGGGTGCACAGCCAAGCACTTAACCACTCCAGTTGTAAGGGTTGCACTTAGCACAGAACCTGTGCTCCATTATCCTCATCGTTAATTGTGAACAATCCAGGACTCAGTGACCCAATCCCATCCTAATAGAACTCTACCTAGTCCTGCACCATCCCCATTGGAGCATTGTGACTCAGGGT